CAAAATTGTATCAAAGTAATTTGTTGACATATTTACATTATGTATTATTGCATTTCCTATATTTCCTTACCAGCACCTGTCACTCATTAGGCATTGACTCTGTTCTGTAAACCTTCAGAAGAAAAGAATGATCTCTTTGTGAATTAAATCTTTTCGTATTACACATAAAAGATTCAGATGCAGGCTGAAACTGGTTCTCATGAAATGTTTTCTAATAACTATACTTCATAAGAGAAATTAAATTAATAAAAGAGCCGGGAATATCTACTATATGTCAGATATCTTGCTAGATTCTTTACAAGCATTATCTCATTTAAAGAACATTTAATCTGTTAAAGGATGAATTATTTCTTTTACAGATTAAGAAAGTATGGTTCTAAGATATTAAGATTACCATTTGCCTTGCATAACATAACATGTCTGACCTCAAATATAAACCCAAGATTTCCCTCAAAGTATAATAGGGACTTAGAAAAGCTGCCTTTGCCAAAAGCAGACTCTTTGCATAGGCCTGCAGATGCTCATAGGTAATTGAAAGCAGAATAAAGCTTGGTGTGCCTTTTTAAAAAAAACAAAACAACAAAAAAAAAAAAACAAAGATTTTTTAGTTGTCAATGAACCTTTATTTTATTTATTATATGTGATGCTGAGAATCAAACCCAGTCACACATGCTGGGTAAGCGCTCTACCACTGAGCCACAACCCCAGCCCTCTGCCTTCCTTTTGTCTGTCTCCTTTATTACCTGAAACTTTGGGTCAGGTCCCTGTTCAACTCTGCACGTAAACTTGTTAATCATTTATGGAAAGTTCGTCTAAATCTGGTAATACAAGGTTTATTAGCCCAAAATTTATGCAACCTATCTTGCCCTCCCTTCAAGACTGAGGCGAGATTTGCAGCATCCTGTTTCAGACCCCTGGAGTGACACTTAGAAGTCACGAGTCATTGCCCTACCCAGAGGAGTCACCCCAGGATGAAACTGCCTCCCTAACCAGAGCAAATATCTCCCGGGAACTAAATTGCCCCTTTCCAGGATTACAGATCTGAATAAGCATCCTGAGCAATAAACAAAAATTACCTGCTCAAGTGATAAAGAATTCTTCAAAACTACCTCACAGAACCAGAAATGAAAAAATGATTGACCATACCATAGTTTGACCAAGATTCAGCAGTCTCACCCTTTCCCAATTTTTCCTCTACTTAAACCAAAAGCTTATGTAAGCACTCCAAAGACAAGGCTGGGACATACGATCTCACTTTCCTTCCTAATACAACCATATTGACTAAGGTTCTTTTCCTGCTTTTTACTATAACCTTTTCTATTTGGTTTTTGGGGTGAGTGACCAGACCTGATTTGCTGGAACCCCCACAGACAGGCCTCTGGCTTAGGACTCTATTAACAAAGCACAGGGTCTGTGCAGTAAAGCCTGTGGTTTAATCATGTCTAAGGATTGGCAGATAACTCACCATTATACATGAAAATGTATGCCTCTGGACTCAAACTGCCTGAGTTCACAGTCTGACTCCACCATTTAGTAACTATAGCACATTAAATAACAGTATGTACCTCACAGAGTAGCTATGAAGATTAAAGAATATAAATTAGATAAAGTGGTTATTATATAACTATCATGCTTTACAAATATTCATTCACTACCTTTATAAGATCTACTCATGAATGCTACTAGTAATGTTTGAAATTGGTTTTTATAGCACATATGAATTTAGGAAAAAATTTCTTATCTAATTTTTACAGAAAAAAACACAACTCAGAGTAGGTATAAAATCATAAATAGATACTTTGTGGAATGAAGTATTTCTTAGCACTTTATCTGAAGTGACCTAAAAGTTTCAGCTTAATTCTAACTTCTACTATGTTGCCTGACATACCACACCTTTTCAATCAAAATTTGTATAACTAAATATACAGCAATTTCTCTTAAACTGATTTTTTATTTCATTTGATAAGGTATCTCCAATATGGATGGTAAACAGAGTTCTGGGCAGATAATCTGCATAGAAAAGTTGAGTAACATTCTATCTTCTAAGTTATTCTCACATTTACACATCAAATACTCTCAAATTTAGTACTAAAACACATTTTTTTTAAAAAATAACTAAAAATAAATAATAAGCAAGGCACGGTGCTGTATCTGTAGTTTCAGCTACTCGGGAGACTAAGGAAGGAGGAACATTTAAGGCATGAGTTTGAGACCAGCCTATGAAACATAGTGAGACCACCCATCTCTAAATAAATAAATAACGACAGCACTACACTCCTTCATTAATGAGGAGAATTAAGACACTTACCATACACCTGCTTTTGTTAAGCTACCAATTCATATTGATCTGTACTTTAATAATAAATTCATTTCCAAGAATGTTATTAACTACCAGTTTGATGTTCAAGTTATTTCTATTATAGACAATTCTATAATTTCACACACACATACACAGACAAATGAAAAAAATCCCACAGTTGATTAAAATTAAAATAGAAACTCCTCTCAAAAAATTTCAGAAAAAGCCATGCACCACTGTACCTGCCTATATTCCAGCGGCTCTGGAGACTGAGGCAGGAGGACCTTGAGTTCAAAGCCAGACTCAACAATTTAGGGAAGCCTTAAACAACTCAGTGAGACCCTATCTCTAAATAAAATACAACATAGGTCTGGGGATGTAGTTCAGTGGTCAAATGCCCCTGAATTCAATCCCTGGTACAAAAAAAAAAAAAAAATTCAGGAAAGAGAAAAGAAACTCAAAAGTCATACTTCTTAGCTACTGAATGATAAGATTGGTCTTTCAACTGAGAGATTATTTCTATTGATTCTACTTAGTAGGAACTTAGTATGTTGAATGAAGGAATGGATTCCTTCATTCAACATACTAAGTTCCTACTAAGTAAAAGACACCTTTGAGGATACAAATTATATTCATTTCAAATATAACTGAAGTAGCTTAAGGAGTGTATATAAGACCTGGGGCAAATTATCTGACCTGACCTTCAATATTCATTTTTTATAAATAAGAATGGGGACTATAAAAACTGTCCTACCTCAACAATTTACTACCAGGGTCAAATGAGGTACTAAAATGTGAAACAAAAAGACAATCTCTTATAAGAATATTTGATTAGTAATGAAACTGACATAAGGTTATACCACAAAACAAGTTATCCTTATCTCCAGAATATAAAAGTTTGTTTCATTAAATATATCACTAGACATAACAAAACCTTACTAAGAGTATAAAATATCATGATACTGTGCTCAAGTACCAAAGTGCTAAAAAACTTAAAAGGTACAATTACTTTCCTTAAAGAACTTACATTCTAGTAGGGATAATAAAATTCTCAAAGAGCCACAATACAGTATAAATTTAGCAAACATTATAAGAGTTATAAAGCCCAGCACAAAGAGAAAAAGAATATTTCAGACACATGGTAGATTTCAGAAAGCTTCATAAGGAAGAGGTGGCATATAAGGCATTAAAGAATAGAATTTTTACAAAGACCTTCCTTGTAGGAAAAGAAGTTATATAAGCAAAGACCAAGGTAGGTAGGCATACAGTGTGTTCAGAAAATCCAATTCAATTAACTAACTGTAGTATAACTATAAAATAGATTAAATGGGATAAAGTATTTTTAAAAAATAATGAAAGGGTCATATTGAGTCTTGGAAAGACTTAAATTTTAAAGGACTTTGAACCTCCCTAAATAAACAATTTATAATGGAGACAGGGGTGTAGGTCAGTGGTACAGCATTTGCCTAGCATGTATAAGACACTGGGTTCTATCCACAGCACCACAGGGGGTAAAAAGCAAGAAACTTCATTCTGTAGCCAACATAGAGTCACTTAGTACCCTAAGAGAAGAATGACCAAAGAATGGCATAAGACCTTTGGATTTAAAAAACAATTGAGGAGAGTTGGGGGTATAATTCAGTGGTAGAGCACTTGTCTAGCATGCGCAAGACCTTGGGGTTCCATTCCCAGCACCACCAACAAACCAAAGGGTAATGATGGAAAAGTGACTGGAAAGGGAACAGGCTGAAATCAGCAAGTACAGTTTAGAACCTGTTGGTTTAGTGGAAATAAAAGAGCAAAGAGGAGCCTACTTAGCACACCGATGATTGGAATGAAAAAGGGAAGAATTAGGGAGAAAAATCAGAATTAGAAATGTAAGTTTAGAAGTTATTATCCCCTTAAAGGAAACAACTGTATCAAATTTAATCTTTGTCTACCAAAGCCCAATACTGATAAAGACTTAACTCTGGTTCCATTTTTGCATTTAATAGAATATAATAAAAGATTCAGGCTTCTGTTATAAAATAGTGACATTTAAATGGTTTACTATAAAGCAAGGCCCATCACTACATTTAATATTATTCTTCAATTCATTTGAACTAGATCTTCCTGAATTGAGAGGTCTTTTTGTTGGTTAAATTACAATGTTACTGAAAATCCTGTTTCTCAATACTCAGGACACACACACACACACCCTTGTTCTGAGGGTAATTTTACACGGCCTCAGACAGTCCTTGTCCACACATTAACCTTACCAGTGGTAACCTTTCCATTTCTTGAAGTCCCTGTGGCTTCTTGAGCGCAAAATCCTGATCTACTGCATCCGTGCCTATCACAGGGTTAAACACTGAGCGGGAGCTCAGGGGACATTCACTGAGGGAATGAGTGACCGCCAGCCTGGCCGACTAGTCACTTCTCTGCACACCTCAGGCTTACAGCACACACGGCCGTTTTCTTTCGCTTGACACACCCCTCTTCTAAGGATCTTTTTCCTCCTCCACCCAGTACATTCCACACGTCGACGGTCAGAATTGCAACGTGTCACTTCATTTGCTCCCACTCCTGCTTAACTAGTACTTCAGGTCCTCGACACCTTCCACTTCACTGAGACAGACCCCACAGCTTCAGAGCTGCCCAGCCGCCCCGCCGCCGCAGTCCTCCTGGGACCCGCCCCTCCCCAGGAAAGCTCAGGCCTCACCTCCTGCGCAGCTCTGCCAGCTGCACACACTGGGGCCTGCGGCTCAGCAACGCCGGGAGCCCAAGGCCGCCGAGCCCTAGGGGTCCGTCGCGACTGCTGACCCGCAGCGCCGCCAGCTCCCGCCGCCTTCGTCGGTGCCACCTCGGTGCAGCCTAGGCGTTTCCGGGTTCCCGCGGTCCCGTCCTCCAAATGCTCCGGCTTCCGCCTCGGCCCGGGCAAACGCGGTTCCCGACTCGGCTTTGGCGGCTCCAGCTCTGCACTTGTCAGCTTCGCTCCTAAGGAGATCGCGCCTGGGCTCCTCGGCTGGGAAACGCCGGTGCCGGTTTCCCGTCACTTGACTGCTGGGAGCACTGGCTCTTTTTAGACACCTCCTGGGGGTTCGAGTCAAACGGGATGATTTCCCCGTAGACCTCTGCGGGACTGACCAGCTGCAGAGAATGCCACAGTGACAATCTGCTAGAGGAAGGGCAAAGTCCTTTAGGGCAAAGGACCTTGATCTCTCAGTGGGGAGAAGGATCTCGGAAGCTGCGAACCCGCTCCTAAAAATGTCGATAACATGAAAATATTATTAGCACCTGCGCCATTTATCAACCAGTACTCTGGAAAAAAACTTGTTCTGTTGGAAATGACCCCTGCTTCCACTCTGAGACCTTAAGGCTGAGAGGAGCCCAAAACGGTGCAACCGAAGAACCTTAGTGCCATTAACCAGGAGATGGGGGGAAAGCGGGGAAGTGGGGAGCTTGGACTGGAAGAACTCAGTTATGAGGGATTTACCCCTTCCTGGCTGCAATGATCCCATACACATTACTTTGGGGTTGGGGTGGAGGGAATGCTACATCCAAGCCCATCTATTTGTTTATTTATCTATCTATTTATTATCGAGACAGTGCCTCACTAAGTTCCTCAGGCTGCCTCGAACTTGTGAGCCCACTGCCTCTTTTTCCGGAGTTCCACAGCAGCCTATTCTGGTGATGGACAGGCTGAAATTAATATTATGCCTTTCCAGTTAACACAATGCTGGTATAAATTAAGCTATGCCTCTTATATTGTAAATAATTTAAACTATGCTTATGGTTGGAAGGAGAGCAGAAAAATAAAGTAACTGTAAGAGTAGAATGATTGACCTTAAATTTTTGTATAATATGATCTTAAGAAAATTTCTAGATGGTGGAATATCCCTGTTTTTTTTTTTTTTTTTTTTTTTTGCTACTACAGATTGGACCCAGAAATGCTCTACCGATGAACTACATCCATTTTAATTTTTTATTTGGAGACAGGGTCTCACTAAATCACCCAAGCTTACCTCAAACTTACATTGCCTTGGCCTCAGCCTTCCCAGCTTTTGGGATTACAGACATGTGCCACCATTCCCCTGCTACAAATTTTTTAAAGTATGTGTGTGTATGTGTATTTTTTCCTTCCTTCCTTCCTTCCTTTCTTCCTTCCTTCCTTCTTTCCTTCCTTCCTTTCTTTTTTTTTATTTGTCGTTCTTGGAATCCAACCTATGGCCTTCTGAATGCTAGACAGGCACTCTGCCACTGAGCTATACCCCCAACCAATTTTTTTGAAACTATGATGTGCCTGGTATATAATAATAGCTAGGCACTATTCTGTCTCTATCTCTGTACACATATACAGATATTCATTCAGAAAATAACAGGTACACAATAAATATGTGTGGATATAGGGGGAAAGAAATATTAAAATATTTTAAATATAAACCTGCAAGAAAAAGATGCTTTATAATGTAAATACATTCTTTAGTATTGTTCCAGTTTGTTCAGAAAGCTTTAACATGATAAAAATGAGAAGTGGAAGCACTTGTAATCATGAAATAGTAACATATACTTTGCCACCTTGAATAGGCATGAAAGTGAAAATGATGAAAAATCTATACAGACAACACAAGACTGGGATCCTAATTAGAATAAGATATATGCCATGTTTATATAAATATGTCATAATAAACTCTATCATTATGTGTAACTACAAAGAATAAGTAAGTAAATAAACAAATCTGGTTCACACATTAAAAAGTTAAACTAAATTAAAAAGATACAAAATCTAAATAATATAACTCAAAAATTAATAGCATCTGAATAAAAGCTGAATCCCACATGCCCATAAAAAAATAAATTGACATTGTCCAAAAACAACCTGCAGCTTTAAAATTTAAATTTGAGTTTCTAACCATGTAATAAATTATTGTTTGGGCACTACATTTCTACATAATTAATATATCTCAAAATTTAAAAAATTGACCTCAAGGGCTGGGTTGTGGCTCAGTGGTAGAGCACTTGCCCAGCATGTGTGAGGCACTAGGTTCGATTCTTAGCACTGCATATAAATAAATAAATAAAAGGTCTGTCAACAACTAAAAATATATTTTTAAAAAATTGACTTCAAGTAAAGAAAATGAAATGGCTGATTTGGTTCTGAAACCAGTTAAATGATTTGTAACAAAGTAAAACATAAGCATGGCATGTTTTCCATCATCACCCATTTTCCTAACAGACAATGAAATGTAAGTGAGCAAATTTTTATTCACCAAAGTCTTGTGATCTATGGTATCAAATATAGAATATCCTTTTAACTGGATTGTTGAACACTGCCAGAGCCTATTATACATTTCTATTTCCCTATGGTTAATCTTTTGAAATCTAAGAGATGTTCAGGCCTGCTGTGCCTAGTAGGCTACATACACTAAATGCTTCAGTGCTCCCACTGAGCCTATTTTAGATAAAGCTAAGAAGAAGAAGAAAAAGCATTTAAATGCAAGTACCTGAAGCAGAATACAACAGACATGAGTATATCAATATGTAAATGAATGGAAGTGAAACTGATGTGATTTTGCAAGCTGTATACGGGGTAAAATGGGAGTTCATAACCCACTTGAATCAAAATGTGAAATATGATATATCAAGAACTATGTAATGTTTTGAACAACCAACAATAAAAAAAAAATAAAAATAAATAAATAAATGCAAGTACCTGATAGCTCATTAGTGTTCCTTTTCAATTAACTTTTCTATTTTTTAAGAAGCAGAATGTAACTTAATACAAAAAAATGTGATCAAAACATATTCAAGAAAAAGCATATTATTTTAATAATGGATGAATAAATCAAGTGCAGTATAAAAAACATCTATACAGACAAAAGCAACAATGAAAATAGAATACAAAGTAAAGATATGAGTCCTGTCTGGTATAGGAGGCATACCTATAGTCACAGCTCCTCGGGAAACTGAAGCAGGAGGATTACTTGAGCCCAGCAATTCTAAGTCAGGAAATCCTGGCAACAGAGCAAGACCCCATCTCAAAAAAAGAGGGATGAGGGGTGGTGGTAAAGCAGTTGCCTAGCATGAGCAAGGACCTGTGTTCAATCACTAGCATCACACACATACAGACACACACAATGAGCCCTAAAGTTGATGACCAAAAGCAAGTAATACTTTCATTAGCCTTCCCTAGGTTTACAATTTGTGTTCTAATAATGTGGAAATATTCTGTTTCCCTGTATACACCATTCATAATACCTATTCCTTTTCCTTTCCTCAAGCTTTTTACTAAATGTATTTTTCGGCTATCTCATAGTTTTTATATGGGTTCCACTCAACTGTTGATTCTCTGCTCCAGTATCATCATCACAAACTTGAAGCATTTTCTTCTCTGTCTTGAGTTTAGTTAGTTTGTTTATTTTTTTGTTTTGTTTTTGTACTGGAGACTAAACCCAGGGGTGTTCTTTCTACCACTGAGTTACACCAAGTTTGAGGGTCTCACTAAGTTGCACAGGCTGGCCTTGAACTTGTGATTTTCCTATCTCAGCCCCTTAAGTAGCTGGATTATAGAAATGTGCCACCGTATCCAGCTTGAAGCATTTTCTTGCCCCCTTCCTCCAAAGAGAAGTCCAAATCACTTCTCTTTGGTCCCATAGCAAGTTGGGGCATCCTGTGAATATCTAGATAATTTTACTTACTTCACTGTAACAGAATCACAATTCTTCTGTTTATAGTCCTCTTAAACCAACACTTTACTTGTGGTCAGTACTGTCCTAATAAGTTTTGGATATTATTCCCATTCAGTGTCTAATACATAGAAACTCATTATGCATATTTCCTGAACTGAACTGAACTGAACTGAACTAGTTAATAAGGATGTCAAAGATAAGCCAGGCACTACAAAAGCTCACCAGGGCAAGAATGTTAAGGGAGCCTGAAATGCAAGTCTGAACATGCAATAGCTTAAGAAAGTATCCAAAAGGCCTGAAGCTATTTTTATGATAACACTTCTATTAACTCCCACAATAGCAGTATGAAGTAAGCAATAATAACTGTATTTTACAGAAGAAATTGAGGTTTATAAACATGAAGAAATTTACTTAACTACACATAAATACAGAACACAGAAGGATAAGCTAGGGTTCAAACCCTTGTTTAAAGTCCATACTTTTTTTTTTTTCATTGTCATGCTGAGGATCAATTAGCTTTGTACAAAGTAGGCAAGTGCTCTACCACTAACTGAGTTATACCTCAGGCCCTTAAAGTCCATTTTTAAAACACTGTGTTTAGTTGTCACAGGGAACAAACAAGAAATGAGTACAATATTCAGAAAAGTTGGCAGAAGCAAAAAAAAAGTAACAATTACCATAACAAATATAGGTGAGGGACAGTGTTGACAATTTAGGATATTGGACCAAAGAATAGTTTTGACTTATTTAGTACAAGTTTTTTGTTTGTTTGTTTGTTTTTGTTTTGTTTTTGGTACTGAGGATTGAACCCAGGGGGGGGGATTCAACCACTGAGCAACATCCCAGCCCTTTTAAAATATTTTATTTAGAGACAAGGTGTCCCTGAGTTAAGTGCCTCCCTAAATTGCTAAGGCTGGCTTTGAACTCCATCTCCTAGTGACTCAGCCTCCCCAGTCCCTGGGATTATAGGCATATGTCACTGCACAAGGCTGTTTGGTTTTTGATACTGGGGATTGCATACAGGGTACTTTACAACTGAGTTATATCTCTAGCCTTTTTATTTTGTTTTTTTGAGACAGGGTCTTGCTAAGTTAGTACTTTTCTAATACTTGATTAGCAAAGGTGTTGATCACTGCCCTACCCAGTAGCTATATAAGATCCTAGACTAGTACATTTAACTGACAACCCCTGTCATGTCCCCTCTTCCTCCACTTCATAGGAATGGAGAAGAATCTGGCTTTGCCAGCTTGGACCCTGGAGCTAACACCTTAGGCATCCCTTGCTGTGATTAGCTGCAACAATAAAAACAGGCTTTCTCAACTGCAGTGGCCTGTGGTTTATGCAGGCCCCACCCACCTGCAGAATTAAGTTTCTTCTGAAACTCTGGTTTCAAAAGGAAGCAGAGGGCTGGGGATATAGCTCAGTTGGTAGAGTGTTTGTACAAGGTACAAGGGCCCTGGGTTCAATTTCCAGCACCACCTTAAAAAAAAAAAAAAAACAAAAAAAAACAAGGATTAAGGTAGCCACAGGGTTCTGGAGGCTGAACTGGGAAGGAAGGCAGAGAGCCCAGAAAGCAATGGTCACTGCAGTTGGTCAGATAAGATTGTGAACCAGAACCAACAAATAAAAGTGATTTAGGGTGCTGAGCTGTCAGGGCAAGAAACTTATTCTAGGCTAGGATCCAGACTGATGGCAGTTTCAGAATGCCAGCTTGGAGTGAGCCATGTTGTAGTCTTTATGGGCAGGAGAAACTGCTGAGCTAAAGTCCAGGAACAGAGGATCAGAGGTTCATTGTTCTGGTGATTGATTTTCCTAGGCTTCTACTTTTATGGTTCAGGTGAAGGGTTTGCTTCTTACAGTGGTTCGGTTTTTCTGATAGAGGTTTGATATGCCCATGCATCCATGTACTAGTTATTTAATTCAGTAAATTTACAGGTGATTATTTTTATTAGCATGGTTAATTTATTTATCAGTTTGTGCTGTTCAGATGGTGGTTGTTGATTGTACAAACAAGGTGCAATCATTTTATCTCAGCACTTATACTCAAATTGGAGAAACTCATGGCAAACTGCTGCTTTATCAATGGAGTAACTTGGGGTCAGGATCAGCCTGAAAACTGCACCCTAAACAACTTTTATTTATTGATCTGAGTCACTTTGTGATATGACTCAGATCAGGGCACAGCTTGCTTTTTGAGGGGAGTGGGGGTGTGTGTATACTGGGGATCGAACTCAGGAGCACTTGGCCACTGAGCCACATCCCCAGCCCTATTTTGTATTTAATTAGAGACAGAGTCTCACTGAGTTGCTTAGGCCCGTACCGCTGGAATTACAGGTATGCGCCACTGTGCTTCGCTACTGCCTAGGACCAGCTCAAATCATATCTAATACATGTGACACTGCAAGCATTATGCACACAAAGTCTCAATATCTTTGGGCAGAGAAAAGGACTTATGGACTTCAATGGCTTAAAGTCAGAGGTTACTAGAAGACCCAAAAGGAAAAAAAAAAAAGAAAACAAAAGACTATGGTAATATACATTTTTTTAAAAGAGAGAGAGAGAGAGAGAGAGAGAGAGAGAATTTTTTTATTTATTGTTTTTTAGTTTTCGCCGGACACAACATCTTTGTTTGTATGTGGTGCTGAGGATCGAACCCAGGCCGCATGCATGCCAGGCGAGCACGCTACCGCTTGAGCCACATCCCCAGCCCCGTAATATACATTTTTAAACATTTATTATATTTTTAGGTGTAGATGGACACAACACAATGCCTTTATTTTTATGTGGTGCTGAGGATCGAACCTGGGTCCCACCTGTGCTAGGCGAGCGCTCTACCACTGAGCCACAATCCCAGCCCGGTAATATACATTTTAGAGGATTTCTGTCCAAAATGGTCAAAATACAACAACAACAACAACAACAACAACAAAAATTCAATGCTTACAGAATTAGGCTTCAGGTCTCCAGGAATTGCTTTATCACAGATTTTGTTCATATACATTATAGTTATTAAAAGTATTGAGTTAATATTACAGCTCAAGAGCAGGAAAAACCAGTTCCTTGTTTTAAGACACCAAATTAGTCCAATCTGGATCATTCTGGTTGGTTCTTTAGGGGAAAGAACCTATTTGTGAGGGCACTGCAACTGGAAGTGGACGGGCAACCCTAAGAGCCAAGCAAGTCTGCATCTCTCTGGCCAGGAAAATGTGTCCCGAGTCCTGCAGCAATTTTATATGGAATATACCCTGCAGCGTTTTATCTGGATTGCACTCTGCACAGTTCCTTTTGAGCCATTAGCCCAGTGTTTAGTTTTCAGCTTTCAGGCATGGTCTGACTAGGAGTTGTTGGGAAGTCTCTCCAGGGCCACAGCTCACCAGGGGGAAGTTCAGTCCCTCTGGGGAACACTGGTGTCTGGTTGGAAGTTGCTTCAGCATGAGGAGGTCTGCATGGGATCCAGGGGACGTTGACTTGATCCAAGGCTCCTGTGACTCTCCAAAGAGCTGGACCAGGCCCAGGGCCCTAGACTGTGGGAGGCCATCCTTGCACGTGATTGAGTTACCTCACTGGCTGGGTAAGAGGCGCTCAGACACTTCTTTGTGTTAAGAGCTTTCCCCACCGTTCTTGGGTCCGAGGGCTTGTCCATGGTGGGAGAGACTTCCCAGCAACTCCTAGTCAGACCATGCCTGAAAGTTACAAACCAAACACTGGGCTGATGGCTCAAAAGGAACCCTGCAGGATACAATCCAGATAAAATGCCACAGCCCCTGAAGATCCAATCATCTCACCTGACCTTGGGACACTGCCCCCCTTAATCTTCATTGGATGGGATTTTCCCCAGAATGGTTTGTTTCCCAATAAAAGTTCACTCCCTGGTGTGTTTCTCTCTCTCTCTCTCTCTCTCTCTCTCTCTCTCTCTCTCTC